AGCTCTCGGATGTTTCAACGAAATCTGGATCTATTAAGCTGCTATCTGACATTTCCGAGCCTGACGAAATTCTTTCCAATAAATTGACTTCCTCATTTGGACTATATTCCTGTGCAAAGCTGGAATATTCCTCAACTATCATGTTTTCGAAATGTTCTGTTTCTGCTTCATTGGTATTAACTTCCTGGCCTGTGGCGGTCTCATTGTTGCCAGTATTTACGATATCATCATTATGATTTTGAATTTCTGTTACATTTACTTCTGGATATAAATTACTGTCTAGGAACTGATGTCTGTTTGCCTCTGGTGGATTGCCAAGATTCTCTAACTCTGCAATTTCATTTTGTAATGAATAATTTTCTTCAGGCAAAAAAATTATTGGAATTTCATCTAGGTTCACAACACTTGGACATTTTTCTTGAAAGTCTTCCCTCGAGTCTTCCTTTCTCTGCGTATTATTTGCCACATTACCTACAGCCTCAGAGTCCTCAGAAGCCTGAAAACTTAAAGCAGCCAATTCTACCAAATATCTGCCTCTGGAAGTTTGTCCCAATTTAGATTTATCCATAATTTCAAAGTAATGGTGCAAAACCTCGTATTTGCAAATTCTGAAAAAAATAAATTGAGTATTATAAAGTTTTTCTAACTAGTAATAAAGTAATTATTGCAGATTTTAAAATGAAAGAACTTTGTCAGCCACCTGTTTGCTCAGTAAACAAGATAATTGAATATTTAAAAATATCATAGCATATTGATATCAAGCGATTGTTATGAATTTTAAGAGAAATAATACAATAAAACATAACTTACCTCAATGTTTTGCTATTCACATAATATAAACATAAGCTTTTACTATTAATGAAGCAACTATAATTAAAATAAAGCACAAAATGTAAATTTGATTTTCGACACTGTCTGATGCTGGCTGATGCATTTATTCAACCTTAAAAAACGATCAATTTCGACACAAAATGACGTATTGTGATGACGTACAATCACAGTTTATACCGTACAATAACTCGTATTTGAACGCTGTTGTCAAATACATGGTTTTGTGCGTCAGATGTTCAAATACAAGGAATTGCATATCGCTAATAAAAAAAGATCGACAATATTGACTAATACAAGACTTTGTACGTATGTGCGCAGACATGTGCAGTTTCAAATGGCATAAAGCGATTTTCGACAGAAATTGCAAATACGAGGTATTGCACTTTCACCGACGATGTAGTTATATTTATTGCCATTTGCTGCGTAATATTATTATTGAATTTAACGTACCATATTGGAAAAAGTCAATGTACCCTATGGTTTAATAAATAAATAGGTTTTAATTTTAAAAGACAAGTGTGACTCATTTAATTCATTAAATTTCCCATAGTTAATCTGCAGTGAAAATATCCTTTTTTAATCAACAAAATATTAGATGCAAGTCCCAGCTTGTTATTTTCGCTAGAACGGAAATGCTTATCATGAAATATGATACCTTTGTTTATAACGCTCCGACATTAAACGTCGACTCGATGGTCTGCAACCTTGAGCTTCACGAATTTTCTTTATTTACCACTACGGCATCCTGTATTAGGACACGTCGCACTACGTACGCTAGATGGCGCCACCGACACACACTGACGTGACCATATAAGTAAAAAATTATATAACGCGTGTACTCCATTTACGCAATGATAGGCGTTTGATGCAAAAATGGATGTGACCCAGGCCCCTATGACGTCATCACAGAACCCGAACCATAATTAACTATACGTAGTTTCGAAACGACTCGGAACAATCCCTTCCACGAAAACTCCATATTACAGGTACCTATAATTTTGAACCCTTCCTGTCGATCAATTGCAAGAATTCACCGCAATAACCCGGTATGACGTCATCACAGAACCCGAAACGACTCAAAACTCCCGCTATGACGTAATGACGTTTGACAGATGACGTTTGACAGATGACGTTTGACAGATGACGTTTGACAGGTGACGGTTGACATGATGGCGGGAAAACATTTCCCCCCTCCCCTTTTTCTGGTACCCATGATAAAATCCGGGGGCCCCTTTTTGGGGGCGCAGCCCTGCGGGCCCCCTCTGGAAGGCGGAGCCCTGCGGGCCTCCTTTTTGGGGAGCGGAGCCCTGAGGGGCCCCTTTTTGGGAGGCGGAGCCCTGTGGGTCCCCAACTACAGCATCCTGTAGTACGAACTTCACACTATGTACGCTAGATGGCGCCAAATACGAATTTCACACTATGTACGCTAGATGGCGCCATGACGTTTGACAAGATGGCGCCGACGATGCATCCACCTTCGTGTCAACGACGGCGCATCCACCACGTGTCAAGAATGAAAGAGTCACACCCGCTTTGACTATCTACTAGTGTAATGACCCGAAAAATGGTCCATTAATTTACGAGAACTTTAAATACAAAAAGAGAATTTTCTGAAAGTTGAATTGAAGTAAAAGTACAATTAAATAGAACTTAAATTAAAAAAATCCTGAATATAAAGTAGCGATCAAACAGTTTTGGATAGACCTAACCTCGTCAAAAATAGTTTTGCAATTGGCAATTTTGTAAATCGTAATGTCAAAGTATATAACAGTTGAGTAGAACAAAACTAGGGCCATATTTTTGCGTGCCAGACTTCTTAAGACATGTCTGTAGACATTTCAAGTATTTTGAAGTTTGACGTCATCATTTATTCCAAACGCAAAAATAGCCTGTTTTAAGCGATAGCTGTCATCTGTCACATTTGTTTATGTTTATATTTTTAAAAATATCGTTTCCAGTAATAACTATCGAATTTTTGTAGTTAAGTGCTATTAATTTATCAAAAAAATGCGTTTATCAATGCTCAAAAAAATCCTGCTGATGTTTGGCGAGGAAGATAATGTTCTTACATTACTTATTCTATTTTTGAAAAGACAATCGTTTAGAGCAGAATTTCCGTTGTTAATGCTATACGAAAAAGATGAGCATATTCGTTCAGTATATTCTGAGGATTGGATTCTGAGGTATTTAGAGTACGATTTTTATCTACTATTCCGTATGTCCAAGGAAACATTTGGGAAATTACTGGAAGTGGTTCAATGTCCTGAGATAGGGAAACCATATCGTGGAGGAGATGTCCCTCTCACTTGTTCCAAGGCCCTTCTAATAACACTGTGGTGGCTGGGAAAAGGTGAATCACTCAATTCTATTGCGGACAGATTCAATGTTGTCCCCTCCACAGTACATCATTACACCAATATTGTACTCGACCAATTGATACAACTAATACCAAAGTATATTCAATGGCCTAATAATGAGGAATTCCTAATAATTGAGGAACAATTTGCAAGAGTGTGTGGATATCCAGGTAAGTAATGAAATATTAATTTAGGTTATTTTGTCCTTGTATGGTTAGTTGATAGAGCATAGGTGAGCTTATTTTTATGTAGGTACTTTTTTCTGTTTCAGTTTTCTGTTTTATTGGTGCAATTGACGGGTGCAACATCAATTTTAAGGCTCCGTTAGACCAACAAGACAGTTACATTGATAAGAATGATAATCACAGTATCAAGTTGCAAGCTGTAGTAGCTGCCACAAGAATATTTACAAATATAAATGTTGGATTTCCAGGGTCCGTTCATGATGCCAGGGTAGGAACCTATATGAAAATTAAAAAAAAAGAAAATATTCACAGTGCAAAGCTGGCATTTTAGTGGGTGGGACAAGTTTTGTATCAACCTATTTGCTAACTATTCCATTTAGCTGTGTAGGTCATTGAATAATAGGTACCTACTTCTTATTTCCAGATATTTAACAACAGTGAATTGTTTTCAAATGTGAGGCAAAACACTTAAAAATATTTTCCTCTTGAAAGATATCATATTTTAGGGGATAAGGCTTACCCCATTCTAGGGTGGTTATTGACGCCTTTTAAGTAAGTAGAAAGATTGGTAGAAAGTACTTCACTGATATTTTATAGCAATAAATTATATTAATTTAGGGACTATGGAAACCTAACGAGGAGGCAAAAGCTGCCTAACTTAAAACACAGCAAAACAAGAATCAAGGTGGAACATACTTTTGGAATTTTCAAGGCAAGGTGGAAAATATTGAAATATATTAATGTCAATTGCCCTAAAAAAGCTACAAAAATAGTAGCTGCTTGTTGTGTTTTGCACAACTTTTGCTATATAAATTCTGATGAATGGGAAGATGTCCTTATTGACGATGATAATCAACATGAAGAGGTTGATGCCAACTATCATATTCGAAATGAAAATATAGGAGTGCAGAAAAGAGAAGAGATTGCTGATTCCTTTATTGTATAAGAATATTATTGTTATTATAAATAAAATAAGTCATGATTGAAGTTTTTTTTTTATTTCGAGTATAAAAACGTCGTTTTTTAAGAAATTACATTTGAATTAATGACTAAAGTACCATAATAAATAATTCTAAATCAACATAAAACTTTTTTCTTTATAATGAAACATACAAACTGAAACTTAACTTCGCTTACAAAAGTAAGAAAACAAAATAAACACAAAATTGCACTCAATTATTAATTATTAAGGGCCAAATTATGGACCAACTGGTAAATGTCTGGTTGTTACCTAACAGGTACTTTCTATTATCTAGAGCATAGAAAGTACCTGCTAGGCAACAACCAGACGTTAACCAGTAGTCCATAATTTGCCCCTAATGGATGGAAAATAAGTATCAAATTAACTAATTACACTAATGGCTGTTTGCACCAACCGTTTTAAGGTATACTTATTAATACTTATCGTGAACCCTTCCTAAAATGGTTGGTTCAAATGGCCATCAGCAGGTCATCTAATCACTGTCACTTTCATGTTTTCGTTTCTTTCCTTTTCCTGTATTGTCCACTGATGTTTTTAATAGAGCCATGATCTCCTCATGCCTTTGAACTGACGTTTTTTCAAGATAGGTCATTATCCTATTGAATTCAGTTTTTCTTTCATCTACATCGGTTTTTTGTACCTGAATCATTTCTTCGAATAATGTATGTTTGTCTTTGGGCTTTGAAGAGGATCTGATACTAGCAAATTTATTTTTTTCATAATTTGCTTCTGGATTTGAAGTGGATGGCAGTTCATGTAGTGGCGTTTTTTATGTGGAATTGCTTTATTTTCTTTATCAACACTTTTTTTTTCAGTTATTATTAATTTGTCAGTACTATCGATCAGTAATTGTGGAGTAATTTTGTCCTTAAACCCAAGAATTTCATCTAATTCATCATAGAAGGGAGGTTTACAAATATATCCTTCCCCTGTCCCTTTCTTTTTATCCTTGTACTTCACGTAACTTGCTTGAAGGTTGGCAAATTTTTTTCTACATTTCTCTGCTCCTTCAAGTCCTTGGCCAACGAAAAAGTTTTTTTCATTCAGCTTTTTTGCGATTTGCTGCCACAATGTATTCTTGCTGTGCTTCCGATCATCAAACTGATTGCTCATTTCTTTTCTCAACTCCAATAAATATGTTGTGGCCTGCACATCTGTTGAAAGAGGCTTTCGCGAAGACCACATCAATATTTCACCACCTCCTGAATGTTCATTGCTTTCAGTGTCTTCTTGGTTACTATCTAAGTTTAGGGCTGAAGGAACCTTGAAAAATAAAAATATTACTTTATAAAAACCATAAAAACTGTGACCTATGAAGAAGAATTGGAAAATAGGATTGTATTATTTTCTACCTATACTTACAGTTGAGTCCATACAACTAGTGCTAGGAGTAACAGGACTATTCGTAGAACTGGTAGAAGGTAAGTGCACTTTAAGGGCTTTTTCGTAATTTTCTTTAAATACTGGATCGTCTGAAATTAAAAAAATGTTTAAAGCCCCTGGGTAACACACTACTCCGCGAATATGGAACATAATTTTTAATTCTAAGGTATATATTTATTAAATTTTGCATTTTCTTGTCTCTTTTTACTTACTTGCCAATAACAAGGCTGTGTCGAGGTCTACCTCCAGTTCTATACCGTTTAGGTTCACTTGATACATTTCGTAGGACTCCATTTCCATAGTCGAATAATCCCAAAAATATTTATTTTAAATTTTAAAGACGAAATTTAAATACATGTACGATCACAACAACATAAACACTGGTAAATTACCGCCATTTTTCCATTTTCATGTACTGTCAATCCCCACTCCCTCGCTCAAGATTTTTGTGGCGTGCTTTGGAGGGCGCCCAAAAAATCTTCAAGCTGCTTAAAGACTGACGTCACGTCTTGTCCGCGAAAATGACAGTTCTACTAGTCGCTTAGTGCGTCTTATCCGCAAAAATATGGCTTAGAATTGATCGAATTTAGTGGATAAAATAGAAAATTTCAAAATTCTCGAATAATAAACAGTAAATTTGAATTTAATTAATTGAAAAATTTGTATTAATAAAAATCTTTAAATAAAATATGTACCTATTTAAAATTTAAGGGAGGCCGCACATCAAAGAAACATGGAATGTGAAACATGAAACATAAAGCGTGAAACTCGTTTCATGAAAATAGAACAAGAACAAAAAAATACAAGTCCGCCCACCAATGAAACGAATTTGTTTCATGCGCAATAAGAAACATTTTTATTACATAAACCCGGTTCATGAAATAGATCGTGTTCTATTTTTCTGTTTCAGTTTCACGGTTTTTGGGAATAAATACATTCATAAAAAAATTAATTACGACTAAGAATTCAATATTGTGCTAGTTTCAGTGGTAGAGCAAGATCGAGAATTGTATAAGTATAACATGGAGAAGTACTCGAATAGACAATCACCAAAAAAATCCTGCCAAAATGTTGCCTGATAGGTAAAAAGTACATTATTGTATGAATGTACCCAGTATCGTCGTTTCCTTTATTTTTTTGACTTTTTGATGATAATAGAAAAGTTGCCACAACAGCAGTTGTTGTTGTTCGTCAACACTTTCCTTTGTATGCTACCCTCCATACTCCACTACTACACTATCAAAAGACTTTGCAAACATTATTTTTTTTTCTTCAATTAGTATGCAAGAAAGAAACGGTTTCGCTTTTCGTAATTTATTGTTTCATGTTTTACGTTTCATGTTTGATGTTTCACGTTTCATGTTTCTTTGATGTGCGGCCTGCCTAAAAGTTCAAATTGAAAAAATATGACGAACCACATTTTCTTGAGCTTCTAAAATTGAGTCAGGAAGATGTTGCTCCTGAGTGACATCGAAAGGGTTCTGCTGTTCCTTTGACACTTTTTTCCAATATGTCAGTTGTAATGGTGTGGTGACTGCTTTCTGGTTGCTTCGGATTTATATCGAAAGCGGATAGTTTGCCTTGTTTATGCAACTGTTGTAGATTTTGAAATAAATATAAAGCATAAAAACACGGCGAGTATATAGGCTAAACAAGAGGCCGATTTATGCATAGGCTCGTATCTGCTTTGCTTCTCTCTGCTTCTGCTGCTACTTGTTCTATGTCATCTATACATAATATGACGTAAGGTGTTGGTACTTGAGTGAAGTGGAGTGAAATTTGAAGTTACGGCCCTCTTGTCATACAGTTTCATTTCAACATCTGTAGCTGATATTAAAACGCCAGATGCTACTCAGTGACCAATGGTGCCACATTATCCTCGGTAGAAAGTAAAGCAGAACCACTAAAACCTTTACAATCTCCACTAACTCTAATTTTACCTGAGTCTTTCAAAATGATATCAACAGGTACATTAGGGTTTTTTACAACCTAAAATTAGAATTTCCTTTTTGGGGATGACATTAAATTATAAGATTTTTTTTTTCTGAATTAGCTAGTTAAATGAAATTTGGTCTAAATTAATGAGTTTTTTTTTTCTATAATTTTAGAAATTAAATTGAATGATTGGTAATATAAAAAGATTTCGCAATTTGGATGAACGTATTAGAGCCAGATGGGTTGCTTTTGTTCACATGAATTTTTGCGGAATTGAGTTTTTGCTGATTTACAAATTATATTGCTGCCTATTTTCATAAACTAATAGGAATTTCGAAAATGGTTTGATTAAAATATATTTGCTACGGATTCCAATCTTTTGTACTTCTATGCGTTCTAGAGTTAAATTTTGTTTTCCTAGAGCATTTAGTTCCCTTTTTTGCATGTCTTGCGTTTGCAAGTAGCCAATTTGTTTTTCGACTTTTTGCGACAATTCTTTGAAACTCTTTTCGTATTCTTGCAAATCTAAGTTTAGTGCAGAATTCTTGTTTATTTTCCCATTAGCTTGTTCTGATAAATTTTCAGTTTGCTTATGGTTTTCTTGTTTTAGTTTGTTAGAAATCGCATTTTCTAGTTTGCTTATTTGACTTTCAAAGTTTTTTATGTTTCTTAATTTTAGATATTTTGCTTTTAAGTGCTCTTTCAAGTGTTTTCTCATTGTTTCAGCATCAATTTCAACTTCATTGAGTTTTCCTTCATATTGTTTCTTCAAGTATATATTTGCATTTTCTGTTTTATCAACAAATTTTTGTTTAAATTTTATTTCTCTGTTTTGCTGTTTAACTTCTTTATCTAATTCAGCTATTTCGTGATTCTTCTCTTTAAATTTATTTTAATTTTTTCTTGTTGCTTTTGTATTTTTAGCTTCTTTTTTGCACATTTCAACAGTTCATTGAGTTTTGTCTCAAAATTTACTTGAAGTTTTTTAAAATTATTTTCAGTACTTTTTAGGCTTTTATTAGAATAATATAGTTCTTCTTTTAGCTTTTTAATTTTGACTTCAAGTTCGTTATTTTTACTGTGTTCTCTTGCTATTTTCTCTTTAAACTTGTCAGCTTTTTCTTTAGCCTTATTCACTTTTTTTTCATGAGTTTCTTGAAGCTTTTTAAGGTTATTTTTATTATTTCTTAAACTTTCATCAAAAACTTTCTGTTTTGATTTTATTTCTTTTGTCAGATCATCAGTTTTGGCTTTAAAATTCTCATTTTCCCTTTCTTCTTGTTCATTATTTGTTAAACTCTCTTCATTTGCTGCCATTTTCTTATAAGTTTCAATATTTTGCTTTCTAAATTAGTTGGTCTTTCTATTAAATTATTTTTATTTTCTTTCAAATTTCTTTCGTCTTCGTTACCTAAATTTAAACTAATTTCTTCTTTGTATAAAAATATATTTTCAATTTTGGGATTTTCATTATTTACTGGTTTTCTTTCTGTAAAACTTTTGCTTTCGTTCTCATTTTTTAAGTTTTTCTTATGATTCCTTGAACTTTTAATTGAAACACTCTTTTCCTCAAAATTTCGTGTAATACCTTGACTTTCTTGGTTAATTAATATTAATTGATGATGTTGTTTTGAGGTAGATGGTTCTTTATAGACTTGCTGCTTGCGATTATTGGGGTTATTTGCTGGTAAAAGGCTATGTTGTTGTTTGCGATTTTGTTCGTCGAGATTATTTTCTGGAAAGTTTTGCCTATTCTGGTTATAACTTTGATAAGTATTGTGATAAAAATTTGTATTAAAATCATAGCTTTGAGGAAACCGATTTTTTTGAATATTTTCAAAACTGTTAGTTTGTCTTGGAAATACCGTTCTTGTTGGTGTCTTTGATAAAAGTTGTGATTTTGAAAAAATCCTCGTTCAAATGTTTTATAATCGTTATAATTCTTAGCAAAATGTGAATTGTTTCTGTTTAAACAATTATCTGATAAATGATTATTTTTTCCGCAGAAACTACAAAAACATTCTTGATAGTTATGTTTTTGAAATGCTCTTCGGTTTTGGTTGAAACGGCAATTTTCTGTTGAATGGTTAGTTTTTTTACAATATGTATCAATTAAATTTATTTTTCCTTGATGCGAACCAGGGAATACCGACGCTTCTATTTCGACAGCTTTTTTTTATAATTTGATCGGTATTAAAAGAATCATTTAAAGTGAGAGAGGCTCTCATTATGGCATTAATGAAACCTTGACGGTAAAGTCTTTTCAAATATTTGAATGTTAACTTTTCTACTTTGCTCGCTAAAATTATTTAGATGATTGCATGATTTCACGTAATTTTCAAAGATATTTTTAAGCCTAGTTCCATATTCGCTTACTGTTTCGTTATAATATTGTTTGCAACTCATTAACTCAATACTCCATTGGATAAAATTCTTTGTTTCGTTGAAAATAGTGTTTAACTCCGTTTTTAATTCCTCCCAATTATCAAATGAAAAATTCCTCGTTTTTTCGAAAGCAGAACCCTCCAGTTTCATTTTCCAGATTGCTTTTAAAAGTTTAGGTTCTAATATGTCTTTGAAAGTCGAGCCTATTAAAGAAATAACTAATTCGCATTTGGACAAAAAAACATTTAACTTACTCCCCTCTTTTCCTCCCTCAAACACTGGCATCATATTAAGTAATTCTATTAGGTTCTTAGACATTTTAATTCACAAAAAGAAAATACCAACAAAAATTACAAAAAAAAAACAAATAAAAAAAAATTAAACCTCAATGTACCTTTTTCAAAAAAACAATAAAATAACAAACAAAAAAAAAATCAGTGGAGAAAGTAACACAGATTAGAAGGTTCTACTTACTTGCAGTTCGCCATCAGTTTCTCGGGACAATTCTGTTTCCAAAGCCTATGATGCGACGCTTCTAGTTTCCGCTGCCACCAATGTTATGATCCCACCTATGTAGTGATCACAATACCGACCGTAATAAAACAATACCGTATAACTTCTGTTTAAAATACTTTTATTATAGAATGATACGCAGTTGTTGAGGAGAGAGTCTTACAAAAATATCTGTGTAACCAAAGCTGTCTTCTGACTGAAAGTTGTGTCTTGACTGATCTATCTTCCCAAAATCCTCTTTCGACATCCCTTCTAAAAATCTATTGCTATAATAGAGATTTATATAGTCAATCGAGACGCGAAGCGTCGAGATTGACTATTAATCTCGAGACAGAAATGAAAACTTTTCTCCGAGGCTTGTATACTATTTTATTTGCAAGCACACCATAAATTATGATTAGTCAATCAACTTTTTTAATATTAAAAAAATAAAACAAACATGCCAAAATGTGTCATTCACTGCTTTGACGTTTTTACCTGACATGTTCTCCTTGTTGCCAGCAAAGGTAAATAAATTAGAGTGAGGGAAATCGGCGAGGGAAGTCGAATAGGGAAATCGGTGAGGGAAATCGAAGAGGGAAGTGACACAGGTAAAGTGTCACTTCTAAATTTTTAAAAAGACAGTAATGACAAGATTACATATATGATTGCAAATAAAATCTATCACCTACTTAATCTAAGAAAAACCCCTCAATAAATGTCGGCCACATATCTCAAAGAATGGTCCTTCGGGATACTTGGAAGGTTTGGGTGTTTATGATGGACAATGTTTATTTTATTTACAATAATTACAAACAGTATTTTTTGCTCACATAAAGTCTGCAGAGTTTATAATTTAATACTAACCACTCACATCCTTCTTGCTGGAAAAGGTCTAGTCAATATAATAATTTTATACCTTTCTTTGATACCGAACCGAACCATTATTTAGGATAGAGGATACCTGATATAAAATAAATGTCTTTATTAAAATAATATAAATGATCAATTTCATTACAAAAATAGTATGGGGGAAACACTACAATTACATACATCATAGTTTACATAAATATTATATTAAGTTAATTGTAGTGGATGTATCCACCATGTGCAAAGCCAAACAAACTAAAAAAAAAATTGTTTTATTTGAAATTGACAGTAACTATAAAAAATGCTGTGGCGACTTCTCATCCGATCATTAGCGACTTATTGGTTTCTTACGTGGCAACACTGCAGACCGCAGAAATCCAAGGCAATCGGGAGCATTGGTTGTACTAGTTAATTTGAATAGTAGTTGTACTAAATTTTATACTATTGTACTAAATTTAATGCTAAAATCCCTCTACCTTGCACTAATTGAAAACTATATTTTTTTGGTTTTTTAAAAAAAGGGTACTTACCTATCGTTTATTTTAAAAAAATATATATATAATATTATTGAGAAGGCTTCTTTTTCAGGTAAGAGGTAAATATGTTCTAAAATTATCAATAGTAATATAACGAGTGCAATGGAAATTATCAATAATTTTTGGGAAATTTGCCCGAATGCATTTTTAGTTGAAAAAGAGCACACGTGCACCACTCTGATAGGTATCTGAAATTTTAATTAAAAAGGTTATTTTGTTATTTAAAATAAAACTTTCTACTTCAATTAATTTCTCGTAAAGCAATGTATTAGCTAAAGTAACCTTTAGAGATATGCCTTTTGCATCTACGATGTTTTCTATCTTTTGCAACTCAGAATAGAGATTTTGAGTTTTTATAATACTAGGATCAGAAGATGTATTATTCGATTCAGCGTGTCTTTAATAAAGTTACCTAGCATTTTTTCTATTCTATGAGTATCTTCTTTTTTGTACAATCAGACCAATCTGATTTTATTTTGATTCTAGTAAATTTTCGTGTTAGATTTTTAATTAACGTACTCCATTAGAAACGTCTAGGCTGCCTGTTATCGTCTTGAAAATTGATCCGACAGCGTTGATGAGTCCGCGTTTTGTTCGTTGTGGATGTGCTTGCTAATAATTTTTCAAGCTTTGTCGCAACGCGGTCTTGTACTAACGATATAGTATTTTACATTATTAGCCAGGTAGAACAGTTTTTACTGGCGATTGAAGAAAATGACTAGCGAGCCGTCAGGCGAGCTTGTCACTTTCAAGAGCCAGTAAAAACTCTTACCTGGCGTATAATGTACAATAATTATAGTTATTTATGTATCAAGGGAATTATGCAGGTGTTAATACCCCAGGGCAACGTTTGTGTCCCGAGGGCCTCCGGCCCGAGGGACACCAATTGCCCGTGGGTATTAACTCCTGATAATTCCCGTGGTACATAGATAATTTTATATCCTACTGAATTTACTGTATTCTGTCTATTTTTATAAAGAAATAAGCCATAAATCAAAATTTCTATTTTTTGTCAAAGTGTTACCTATTCAAGGTAAAAGCGGGAGTTATAGAAATCCTTAACTCCCTTGGGAGTTATGATATCCTTAACTCCCTTCCTTAACTCCCTTGGGAGTTATGAAAATCCTTAACTCCCTTGGGAGTTAAGACCCTGTTTATGATTATCGTAACCAAGGTATTATATGGTTTTAATAGTTCAGTAGGATATAAATTTATTTGTTACTCATTTGTAAAAGATAGAGGGACACATAAAAATTGATAAATAACAAAATTTTAAAATTTATATATTTTTATTTGATTTTTTCTCATTCAAGCCTTAAAGTTGATATAACTATGAGAACGAGACGTAGTTAAGTCCCTGTTTCTAGTTATAAATAGGTTTTCTGAAAAATTTGCATTTTGCAATTTTTTTCCAGAAATGAATGTGTTAGAAGATATTATTAATGAAGCCGCAGTCATAGGTAACAGTTTATCACCAGGAAAGTCTTCCAGAAGCTCCCTACAAGCAATTTATAATTTATTCTTGTGATAAAAGTGATTTTTTCAAAATAATAAATTCTACTGACTTGTAAAAAGTTTTTATGCACGAACGGGCGTAAAAGTGCACTTTTACGCCCGCATTTTAAAGCGTGAAGTAGTACTTTTACGCCCGCATTTTAAAGCGTGAAGTAGTACTTTTACGCCCCAGGGCGCCTTTCACGCCCGCGGGCCTGAAACTTTCAAAAATAAGCAAAAATTCGTAATTTTTTTCAAAAACTTTTTGTATTTCTATTGCTTGTCCAAAAAATACCAACTTTGTTCAACAAAACAAGCTTTATTTCAATTAATAAGAATAATGAAATAAGCAATAATAGTAAAATTCAATCTACTTTAAAATTGAAAATACAATATTTACAGTTTTTAACTTTTAAAACCGGCCCTTTTCCACAGAAATACACAAAAGAACTGTTGCCTTCAACATTGAGTAAAAGCTCCATAGGGTGGATGGCGTTTTTTTTGCATTTTTCATATTATTGTATATGCCAGGCCAGGAGAGTTTCTTCTACAAAGTACTGCTGCTCAT